GTGGCGTGAGAGAGAGCGTGAGACTGAAGCGAATTGCGTGAGACTCACGCCGAATGCGTGAGAATTGAGAGGTCTGGCGTGAGAGCGTGAGACTGAAGCGAATTGCGTGAGACTCACGCCGAATGCGTGAGAGTTGAGAGGTCTGGAGACCCCTCCTAGTGTATAGGTATTCTGCAATTTTAAGCCAGAGAAGAGGCTTTTGGAAAAGGGTACAGCAGTATCTCGTTGACATTAAGTCCAAACGACTACACAGTTTGACTTTGATACATTTGGACATGGTCATTGATACAATTTAATTATAACCATAGCCCAGGTTGATGAAATTTTGGATTTTATAACATATAAAGAATTATAGCTAGATTAGGATAATTGCTTAATTTTAATTATTTCATAATTTTATTGTATTTGTACATCTCTTGGATGGGCCATTCCATTTAATGTACACACACCCCTATGGACAAGTTCAAAAAAATTTGAACCCCTAAGAAAAAAAGATCAAAGTGCTGACACGGGCGACACAAACGCCCCCCACCCCCTTGTTATTAAGAAATTTTTGCCTTACCCCTCAGAAAAAAACGCAAAGATCAAAGGATGCCGATGCACACAACCCTTCAGAAACGACTTTTTCAAACTCCCTCAGAAATTCTCGTCCATAGGAGGGTGTGTACATTAAATGGATGGCCCAGATCTAATATCTTACTGTTGTTTTATGGCAGCTTCTCCAGGACGGTGTACTGTTGTTTCAGCCTTGGTTTGTGGCTTGATTACAGGAGTCTTGTCACTGTTTATGGAAGGATCAACTACACTAGATGATGTGGATTCAGCCATTTATAGTATGAAGATGGTTAAAATCATTCTTTAACAATTTTCCTGTGTTTTCATCAACTTATTCGACCACGTTTTTCTGTTTCGCAATATCGCAATTTCGATCGATGTGTTATTGAGTCTGCAGTACTATCATGGAATACTTGGTGTTGCACGGGTATACAGTACCCCATTTACTCGGTACCTCTAAATGCCCTAAATGCTCTATTACAATTTACAATGTAGTTAAAAGTTAAAAAGATTCAGGGATGGATTTACTGGTGTGGTGTGCAGGGGGGTTCTATTTTTCATGATAAATCAAAAAATAATAGAGACACAATGAGATACAGTAATTTGAGCAATAACATATGATGACTGAGAGAACTGTATGTTGATGGGCGGCACACATGACCGGCACAACTCGGCACCAGAGCTGGCAGAGCAAACCCCCCCCCCCCCACCCCCACCAGATCACGCTGGATCCATCCCTGAAAATATTAGAACTAATAAAAGAACGGAATAATCCTAGCTAGCAATGTGGCTTTTCATGCAACAAATGTGTGCATGAAACGTGTGCGCTCAAAACGTCAATTTTCAAAAATTGACGTTTTGAGCGCACACGTTTCATGCACACATTTGTTGCATGAAAAGCCACATTGCTAGCTAGGATTATTCCGTTCTTTTATAAGCAAGAAAGGGGAGAATATTCTTTGGAAGGTAGTTCACGGTACTGCATGTATCTGGAAGATATCAATATCTTCCAGATACAGTACCGTGAACTACCTTCCAAAGAATATTCTCCCCTTTCTTGCTTATAGTTTAGACAGAAGGCCGAGAAGGGACCTTCACTGGCGGGACAACATAGTTCACTGAAGGGGCCAACATGGGGGCTGGGGGGACTTGACCTCCATGCAGTTATATGTCAAAAGATACAAGCATGTATAATTCTATTCTGTCTAACTGTCTTGTCTCAAATTAAGAATGAAGTCGAGGTTTTGCGTGCATGGCAATTGTGCATGGCGGTATTTTGAGTGTCTGGTTCCAGACTTCCAGTGTGGTTGTGAATCAAGCTCGTGTACGATGCCTATGGTACGCTTCGTTAAATCTGCGAATCACTCAGCCAATGATTGGGCGCGCACGACTAAATTTGATACTACAGTCAAGACTTATTGCTGTAATAAAGTATAAAATAAATTACATTCCTGCTTATCTATTATTATTCTACTGTGTAGAAACTGTTGGCATGCTATAAATAACTCTGTTTATAATATAATATAACTTTTCATAATTATGACTGCCAAGGCAAAATTCTAAATCTACACTTATATTATAACAATATAATATATTAAATATTCTTTAAAATGCATCTCAAAAACAATAAGCTTTTCATGTCCCGTCCTCTTGCAGTCAATAACTACAATCTTGTAACTAGGTTAATTAGAGAATCAAAAGTATCCAACCACACTATAACGAGGCCAGAAAGACTACTTTAAATCCATATAAAAAATTAAAATGCAGCCATTACGGAGGAGTTGCATGTATGAAGTGTCTCTGATCCACGCATTATTATTCCGTGGACATTAAATGCAGCAACAAGACAACAAAGTACAATTGGACCAACGATGGCTCCTTCCAAACCCAGACAGTAGATTCCTCCAGCAACAGCTAAACCAGTGAGATAAGGATGGCCACCACTGTTGAACAAAAAATAACACGAGAATTAACACAATTAAAGAGCGTACAGTCCAAGCAACATCAATAATATACAGTACTGACGTATAACCACACTATAACTTAGTATATAGGTGACAACCTTATTCCACGTACAGTCACGTGCAGATAATATTTGTTTGCAAATGAAGATTTTCGTTTAAAATGTTTTTATGATTTGACTACATGTACGATTGGTAGTGTATCAAGTCTTATGTAATACATCAATTTTATATTACATATTTAAACGTTTTCATTAATTTAGTTCGTTTTGCTCTGTATATTAGATTAATCCAGTTGACATATATCAATAACTTACCCTTTAATTTCACTGTATATGACAGTATCGACAACATATGTTGGTAAGATATGACATATAGTCAAGAGTAGAGCTTGTATTTCTGAGTCTTCAATAAGCCATAATTCTAAAACAGCTGGGACAGCGGCCCAATAGGATGCCACAAATGGTACCACACCTGTCACTGCAGCGATGGCTGTATAAAAGAAAATAAATAGGTCGTCGTAGGACGAAAATCAAAATCTTGATCTCATTTTCTAGTACTAGAGCCCCATCTAGAAAGACAACTATACCGCAAATGTATTCTATTGCTACAGTTGTCTATACGTACCATGCATGATTTTATTTTTGTGCAGGTAAGGTCTAGGAGTCTTGGGGGTCTAGGGATCACAATGCGAACCAAAACTGTAGCCTGGGAATGAGAGTGGATCCTGAAATCAAACTCCAACGGTGAATGACTCAGGCAACTTCTGCCCCAATATCTTTCGCATTTGGCTCAATAGCTATAATTCTAGCCTTCATTTTAGACTATTTTTTTAGTTGATAGCCATTTGCTTCACTCCTCCATACGGTTTTGGAGTTTTAAAGCACTTTAATTAATTGGCAGTTAGCCTCTTATGGACTATGGAGGTAGCTCCCTAACGTCTGCACTCGTGATACGAATGAAATTCCAAATGTTTAAAAACCAAAATATACACAACACACAAGGGATTAAATGTATCGTTTCGTAATTTTTGTACTCTGAGGGAGTACGTGTACGACAGTTTTACGCTTCACTGACTTAAGTAAATAATTTAATCTAATACTAAAAGAAACTAGACGAGGCATTAAGTAGACGAGGGCGAGGCATTTTATCACAAAATCTGATTTAACCGAGGTGTCTATCAGAATCGGAGTTTGTGACTTGGAGAGATCATAACTGTATATATTATATCTGCGAAAAAAAGAATTATACAAAATGAACTGAATACTTACCAGAAGGGATGAAAACAATTTTAACCCCAAATAAAGTGTGAGTAAGCCAGGTGTATAAACCATAAAACGCAGCCATTTTTACTGATGCTCCAAAAACGCCCCTTTAAGACAAGAAAGTGAAGAAAAACAACTTCAACACCTCGGTTTTTCATCTCATCTACTATTGAAAAGAGTAAATCGTCAAAACAAAAGGGGGCAAAAACTTGACTCTTCAGAGGGATATTTTAGGTGGGGAAACCTGTAAACTAATTCTGCAAAAAAGATCTATTAAGAAAACGACATCACACACGTATCATGCACAAACATACCATCGCACAATTGCTCGTCAGTGCATGTATTTAAAATAAAACTATCGTCTACGAAAACATTCACCAACCCTCCCGATTACATGCAATGTTGGAACAGAGTAGAAAGACAAACACATCCATATTGATGTATTACCTTATTGCCGTATATATCGCCTCGCCAAACAGCGTTGCTTCACTTCCAGAGAGTGTACTGACCCAATACACCGGCAAATACTGACTTCGAGAAAAACTCAGAAGGTAAAATAACGCTGTTAAAAAGACGATCTGAAATAGAATGTAATTACTTATTAATTCGAATTAATCCTACATAACTAATGTAATGCTACCTCTATCTCTCATCAAATCCAATCACTATCCTACAAGTCCTAACCCTATGACCGTTACCACAAACCAAACCCAGATCCCCAACCTCAACCTCCTAATGCACATAAATTTCATGAATTGTCCCCCGCATAACAGTGGAGCTAGGGGCACTAGGGCAACTGCTCCCCCCTCCCCCCAATAATTTCTGAAGGCGTTTGAATGATAGCTGAATAACAAGAACTTTTTAACCATGACAGCAATGGCAGACAATAAATCAAGTATAAATATTGTATGAAATTTAAAGCAAAAAAAGTTTAAAGACTAAAGGTTCCAGCTACGAAAGGTTGTCGTACGTTGGCAACCTCATTGCCCCCCCCCCCC